TTTTTGACCATCAAATATCTGAAAATTCATTAAACCATCGTTCAATCCAAATTCGACCCAAACAGAATTTAATGAACAACAAAACTCTCCAATACAAATTTTAACAGAGTTATATTCTTAAAGTTTAAAATAAAAGCTTTTGATTAAACTAAAAAAATTTTCTGCCAACTCATTTACTCATTTGTGGGTTTTTTTTTTTTCTTTTATTATTTTCTCTTTTTAGTGAGGATGAAAAATTGCCCATCTCGTTTTTGGCCCAACAACAAAAATTAAAATTTCTTAACCTCAAGATTATGGGTCGACTCTTTTACATGATGTCAATCTCTAAGTTTTTTTAGGGTTTTTTTTTTTAATTTTTGTTTTTGTATTATATAAGTCAAGAATTTTTTGGATTATGTATTATATAAGTTAAGATATTTGTATTATGTATTTTTTTTGGCAGATTTGATCTGATAATAATAGATTCTATAAGAGGGGATAACCCTTTTTTAAAAAAAAAAATCTTTTTTCATTCGACTTTATATTCGAATTTGAAATTTTCAACTTAAAAAATCAAATTTTAAACCATTGAATTATCTTTTTTGAGTTTATTTGTATTGTGTATAATTTGTATTCATTTGTATTTTATGTAAAAAAAGAGAGAATGAAAAATTTAACAAGAGTGTTCAAAAAACAAGCAAAGGAAGGATCATCATACTACTAAAATAAAATAAATGTTCTTTTATGTTTATGATTCAAGGTTTTAATTTTTACTTAATAAAATTAAAGATAACAATAACCAGTAATTTTTCAAAAATTTTGAAATAATAAGAGTCAAACTCAAAATCTATTAAATTCATAATAAAAATTATACTGTAGTATTAATAAAAAAAACTGTGTCATTTACATAATATTTAAAATTTCAAATTGTTTACTTTAAAAAAAAAATTTATTTTAGACTCAAAGAAAGGTACCGAGCTGGTTCCAATTTCGGGCCCTCGCACTAGGCCTAAACTTTAGCCCATCGCGTAAGCAGGTCTCAAACCGGGAACGTTGACCTGGTCTTGGACTAAGTTTGACCAAAACCTGATCCATTTACCATCTCTATCAAAAC